TCTTTCAAACTCCTTTGCAAGAGTATATTCTGATCAATATCTCCTACCAGACACATGACTAGGTCAATGAGATGTCTGCAAGAATGTATGGCAAAATTTTGACCAGCTGCAATTATTTATGTGCTGTAGCAGAGGTAGGTTTGCCACAATTGGCTCCATAACCATTCCAAGCACTTCATCAAATATCAATTTGCTTTTAAATAAGTATCTCCATATTTGCTATTGTTTATCGAATTAAATCAGCGGCAGTGTTAGTGCTGACAGGTTAATGATACTATGCAGGAAAATTGCAATGATTGGAGCAATTACATTTCTTAAAAATGGCCAATATTCTCTTCAAATATTTCAATAGCACAAGCTCCAATGTTTGCTTCTTTAAGCAGCCTGCTTTAAAACAGCATCTTTCTAGAGTTGTAAAATTACATCTTTCAGAATGTTTCATCTGTTTTGGAGACTGTATCTTTCTTCAAATGGAGGTCAATAACTTAATCTAAGACTGTCAAGTTCTAAAGCTTTATAAAGCATTTCTTTTGCATGCACACATACACACACACAAAATCCCTCCTTCTGGGGCTGATTCTGCTCAAAAATGTAAATAAATACAGCCACAATTGGACAGATGTTACATCCACTTCCAACATGCTTCATTGCAAAGTCAGGTTTGTATGTACACTTGCCTCTCTCTCTGTTATTTCAAAATCATAAAGTGCAAATACACTTGGGAGAAAAATAATACCAAGCATGGATCTGCACTGCATTTTTTTGTTTGTACATGGAGGTTGGATAACAGTTAAAAACTGGAAGAAGAGAGAGAGAATGATATAGAGTAATGACCCTGTCCCATTTTGACACCAAAAATATACAATGTAATATGCAGGTATATCTGAGAATGCACTTAGAAAAAAAACACTAAAACCCCCATTTTTTCTTTACAAACTATGAATTTTGATCTTACAAAACCTAAAAGGAAAAAACCAAAATCAATTGAGCACTGATTTGAAAAATTCACTAAAAATGCTGAAGATGCAAAATGAACAATGTTCTGCAACCAAAATGTAAATAAACCACAGGTTTATTCTGGGTCTCATTCTGATTTACCCAGAGCCTATAGGGCAAGATGCTCATTGCCCCCATCAGCCAAGAACCTGAGGATTAATCCTTCCTAATGTACCTATTGTCAGGGAATTGCTAGTGGAAAGTCTTCAGAGATGCTTATTAAAATTCCATCATCACACTGAGAGGAGGTTTCTGATAGTTTTCCTGCCTCTGTTCTAGCTCAGGTCTGTTTGCAAACCCTTTAATCATGCCTGCCAGAGAAGATGTATCCCAGAAGTGCAGAACTTCTCTTCTGAAGAGTAATTATTTTTAGCCTCAGAATGCACTGGATGCAATCAGGAGTGAAATGTTTTTAAATTTCCCAAGGAAGAATCCCTGTCAGATACACAAATAGCTTTTCCTTATGTAATGTGCATTCAAGAACATAGATACATACATAAATAGAACTGTGTATCTGGACACGCTGTCTGTTCATTAACACATTTATCTACTCAAGATTACTTAATTCCCATATCAAAAAAGATATCATGTGGCTGAGGGCTAAGTATTCTCTGGCAGGAATGATAAAGTATTAGGAAGAGAAGAGTGAATATTACCAGCAGAATCACCCAAGACCTCCCATTTCCATCTGATGATTAAGTTCCAACCCAAACTTCACTTGTTATATTATTACTATTTGAAGTCTACAAACACACATTCTTTACAAGGAGACAATGCAAACAGACATATACTCACATTTCAAACATTGAGCATATTATCAGTATCTTCACTTTATATCAATTTTACAAACACAGTTGAATTCTTGTAATTGAATTTAGGAGCACTAACAAAAGCACTATAAAATGATGTTTCGCATGCATTTGAAAAACCACAGGAGGGTTAGCTCCAGTTCTAAAAGTTGATCTATCTTTATATATGCTCCATGTATTAAAACATATAACATCAGATAATAAATCAGTTGGAAGTCAACTTACAGATTTGAAATACCAAACTGACCTTTGGCAAGGTGAATCACAGGAATATGGGCTAAAGAAATATTTTTTCTAAAGCCAAAAGTCCTTTAAATTCTATTACTAAAACTTAGGTAGATAACATACATCAGATACAGGCTTTCATTAGCTTTCTCCTTCAGATCTTACTGCAAGAAAAGGCACCTACAGTCAATCACCTATGGTGGATGTGTTTATCATATAGTCGAACACATACCTGGCAAAAATGCCTTATTGTTGAATCAGTTCAGGAGGTAATCAACTGGTAAACTGAAAAGTTTGAATAAATACACAGAGATCCATTTCCTTTTGTTCAAAGTTAACTGAATGTACTGAGAAATAAGAGTGTTACATTTTTGACTGGAATTCCAAAGTAGTGATATATGGAATATGTATAATATATAGTCTTGGGCACTTAAAATGTGCTTGAATTGAGGAGGCAAAAAAGTCTTTATTAGAGCAATAATTACTGCTTAGAAGGGTTCACTCTGCAAGACAGGCCCCACAGACCCCACATCTATCTCAAGAATTTCAAGTTGAAAAATCACTAAAATAATTATTTGTTCTTACTTGCAAGGCTTAGATTTACAAATTAGTAGCCTCCCTACTACAGCTCACTCCAATGCAGAGCTGAGCAGGAAGCTCAAGCCAAAATCCAAGTCTAGTGATATCAAGAACATGACAAATGTTGATTCTCAAAATTTATTTTCTTCATGATATAGGAGTTGGAAAAATCTATGTTAAAGCAGGATTTATTACAGAAGAACTTTTCAGATTACCACCAAAAATGCTATAGCTAGCATAGAGATTACTACAACTGTAGTATATTTTGGTTTTAGCTATCAATTTTTCATAAATGAATGCTCTTTCTTTGTTTCTATATAGATCATTATGGCATAAACAGAAAGCTCATCACCTTACATTTATTTCAGCTAAAGTAAAACTCCATAAATAAACACTTCTTAATAGCAACATTTTGTTTCACACTATATAGCCTTCAATACGAGCAGCTTCTACAAACTTGATTTTTTGCATAACATTATTGGCAGAATATGCCCCATCACTGTTACTACTTCTTTTGCCTTTTGATTTCTTAGGTCGCAATATAATATCATCCTTACCTGAATTAAGACTAAGCTTGTTCAATCTCTATTGCTTAAAAGAGAGAAAATCCCTTGACATAGTCAATATATTTATAAAATACCATTACCTTTTCAAACCATTGTTCATTCTTCTGTACCCATGGCTTACAACACGTTGTATATCAAGATTTTTTACTTACTAGAGAGCGATCCTCTGAAGACACAGACCCTCTCTTCCCACTAGCTTATCCATAGGATAGACTTTGTGAGTGCTTTAGGGTCTGCAGTACCCTTGTGGGCATCATTTGCCCCCAAAGAGTTGAAAAGCAAATTGTTACATCTATAGCACTTACAACGTCCTACATACATCTAAGCCTTTGCTCTTTTCATTCATTCTGTTTGGTTTGGCTTTTGGAAAGTCACAGTCTTGATTGCACTACACAGTAAGTTTGGATTAGAAGGTTTAACATTCCTTAGGTACTAGGCCATATGATAGTTCAACTGGAAATAAAACACCAAAGTCAGCAAAATAACCTAACGGCTTTTATATGGCAGAACCTATAGGCTGAAGCTATCAATTAATTAAACTATTCCAAAGATTTATACTATGGACTTTCCTAGGCTTTGTCTTACGATTAAATGCAGCATGTGAAAAAGGATATTGAGACCTGGATGGATGCATCAAGAAGTATCAATGATTGTTACCTGCAGAGGTGTTACAAGAAATTTCATCTGCTGCAACGAAGACGAATTGATTTCTGCAAGAGAAGATAAAATTCACAATACTGCTTGCTGACTGGGAAATGTGCTAGCTGCCAATTGACTTGATGTTTACAGATGGGGTAGGGGAAGGGTGCTTAATTTTAATGAATGTAGCAAGAAAAAGTGTTGACGTATTTCAGTACTATAGAGTTTATAAGGGTCATGAGGTAGACATGCTGGGATCTTTTAAATGAAATAATGGTGACATTTGGATATGGACTATGTACAAACTCTTGCATTGGAAGCTTCATGTTTTGTGTTACAGATATGTCAATATATTTATAAAGTCTAATAAAAAAGAAAACAATATATTGATAGAGCTATTAAAGGGAACTACTGCAAAATATGGAAGAAGCGCTTTGGAAAAAAAAAAATTGCAATTTACTTTGTGCACCTGAAAGGAGGATATTGAAAGTAAAATATTTTGCTTTTTCTATGGCTAATATGATTGCAATCAGAAAATTAATTTTCTGCTAGTTATTAAAAAATGACATAGTATATTCTCATATACTGTCATCCAAATACAGAGAAAAGTCTCGTGCAGAATCTTAGGAGAATAAGCTAGAGATAAGAGTAATTTAATATAAACCTTCTCTTGCAAAATTCTTTTTTAAACCAGGTAACATAACAAGAGAAATGCTAAGTACACTAATATTTCAAAATGCAGAAAACTTCGTTATGGCACAAATCCTGATTTGTCCTCTCTGAAGTCAAAGCAAACAGGATTTGGGTAAGTGGAAACCAAGTTTCAGGATTAACATCAAATGACTCCTTTATATGTGGATACACAGCTTCCTTGAAGTATTTTTGGGAGCTGCAGGATTAATAAAGACCCTGGGTGAAGTGTTAACACTTGGGTGCTGTTTGACTCCCAGCTGAGGCTCCTCCAGCCTGCACTGCCAGGCACAGCCAAAATCTCCAACTGTTTTGCTCAGCTTTAATGCAAGAGTCTAACAAATAGGAGCCAGAAGGAACTAGTTCTGGCTTGGCCTAAGGACTAACTCGAAAAACTCAGCATTAAGTACTCTGAGGATTTTACTGAAAACTGTTCCATTGAGGAGCAAACATCTCTCAGGGGTAACAGAACCTCGAGGAGTTAAGCCCAAAGAGAACAAAATCTATTTCTCTTACTTCACCTCCAATGTATTAAAGAGATTTGAAATTCTCATTTAGAAATCTGTGAACCTCGTTACTTAGAGGTTCACATTTTAGGGGAAAAATCTAAACAAAACAAGGAATCTGCAGTCTGTACTCTAGGGACAGGATTGATTAAGCAGTGTCTGATCATTGCCTCTGCTCTACCACAGACACTGACACCTCCCTTTTAGCATGAACTTAGTCACCAAACTGTATATTCTCTCATTTTCAACTGGATGTACAATTGGTAGTTTTGTCCTTTGTCACCTGCAACAGTTTCATAAGCTTATGAGATTTACCTTGCATGTAATACTAGAGATGAATTTTAAAAACCAAAGGGGGATAAATTTCAGCTACTCTGTATTTCATAGGTAGCATAATTTGTCTCTGTATTTTACTGCTATCACCTCTTTTATTATGCTCTCTTGTGCCAGTAGCAATGCAGACTTCCCAGCTACTGTTTCACAGCAAATCCTTCTGATTCATTTCTACAAACTTATTAAAATGCCCTAACAACTAAAGGAAAAGATCACTTTTCCTTAAAAACTGCCTCTAAAGTGCTTAGCTGAGAAACTCCTTTGCTTTATCTCTGTACAGAAGAGTGGAACATTGAGCCACAGACCCTCTATCTTCAGATGCCAAAGTACAGAATTAACTGCAAGGATAATATGCTAGGTTAGTACCTACAGAAGGACCCCAGAACACTAACTGCAGTTTGATGAATAATACTGAAACTCTTCTGAAGTCTTACTTTTCTTTTTTGACCAACTCTTTACTAATTAGTAGTAGAAAACTCATTTTACAAAGATGTCACCCAAAAGTGATACCTATTTATAAAACATCTACTAGAAACATTCCTTGTTATACTGCTACATAGGAAGATAGTATTTTGCCTGTATTTTGCTTCTGTAAACTAATTGCACGACTCCATAAATGAGTTTTCCAAGTAGAAAGCTAAGTTCTGGTCAGCAGAGCAACTGTGAGAATGACAAGACTGAATGCTGGAGTTCATTTCTTTTATAACTAATTAGGTGTTACTTGTAACAATGGCAAGAAATTATTTAAGACTTTGATAGCTTAAATATTTTTATGGTGGCAGGTTTTTACCTAGAGGGAGAACTGCTCCTCAGAGGCATTGATCTACACACATACCACACCTGATGGTGTCCCTCCTTCATGTGGATAACCCCACAGTTTGCAAAAGGAGTACTCTGGAGTTCAGCTGACACTGTGGAGCATCATATCCTAAGTCTTAAAGTGATGGAAAGCAGGCCCAGCAAAGGGGAGCTGAGCTAGCTCAGTCCTTTGCAAATGTTCCCTTTAAAGCCCAATTTTGTGCACTGACTGCGTGGAGCACACAAGGCTTGAAAGTCTCACAAGTGAGCCATGATGAAAATTCATGACGCATTTTAGGTTGGTTTAGTGTTCCTCATCACTGCTACACTTTTAATGATTCCAAAAGGTACCAGGAACGTAAGTGGACCCAACTTTATTATACAATAAGCCCTGCTCAATTAAGATCCAGAATCGCTTCTATAATTTAATTTGTGTATTAACAGTGAAAGTACAGAACTAAATTTTTACTGCTCATTGGTTTAGACTTCGGATGTTCAAGAACAGAGATTTTAAAACCAGAAAACCTTTTTCTTTTAAATAAAATTCAAAAGTTGTTACTGGTTCTAAGGGAGATAAACAGAAAAAAAAACCCCAAAATTGAAGGGATAACACGACAAATCCATTGATCTGAATGTACAGTCGGATATATTCAGCCTGCCAGAAACTCACACCCCGGGCTAAGTGCAATCCTTTTAAGTGCAGGAATGGCACCTTTTGGCAGTCTGAGCTCTCTGATGGAAACCCAGACAGTGCAGGTCATGAAAATGTGTTGCTGGGACTCCAAATGGCTGTGTTCCATCCGAGCAGCTACTTCCCAAGGGCAAACACTCTGCATACTACAGCTTCTCTCAAGCCTATATATCAATTTCTTATTTCTTCTAGTAAATTGAAAACTAACATGTTCTTTCACCAGGATGGTAATAATAAAGGTATCTTCAAAGAAGAAAAAATAAATGCTTAAACATTTGATATATATCCCAAATCCTGACAACAGAAGGGGACAGGACAACAGAAGTACTATTAAGTGATTTAGATGCTCTTTCTTACTTTGGGGTAGTTACTGAAGCTGCATTATGCCTTCTTCAAAAAGGTTCAAATATGTTTTAATTTCCTCTGCTCCATTCCCTACAGTCCCTTTGGCAGACTCCTAACAAATATATGCCTCTAATGCCTCACATCTGGCATAAACCTCCTTGTTTTGGCACCTGCACTTTCTATTCAGCAGATCTTCTGCATATCCAATACATTATGTGTTTGCTTTCCCTCTCCTTGATGCTGTTACTTTGGTGAAGACATGCCATGCTATAGCATAAAACTGGGTTTATTGCTTTTCCAAGATCTTTAATCACTGGAGTCTGAACCTTATCCTCGCTATGACTGTTTAGTACACAGAACTACTTCTGTGAAGAAACTCCATTTCTTGTGGATTGTGAAAAAAAATCTGAATTTTTGCTTGTCGCTAAACTGTCCTAGAAAGATGCAATCTGTGGTACACTGGACAAGAACTGTAGGAGAGGGGTCTCACTACTCTCTGTCAGCATTTCCATCTTAGCATCATTTTTCACAGGGTAGCTTCGAAAGAACAAAGCCCGAAAGGATGATTTTCTACCTACCTATATCTTTTTATTAAACATCAGTACATACAACTTATAGCACACTTTCTACATCTAAATAGACTTAAAGGTCAGTGGCTAGTTAAAGTAGAGTGGAGCTCAGAAGGGGCAGAAACTTCTAGAAGACTTGGTACAGACCTCCTCACTGATTCTACTTGACCCATATATGATTTTCCCACTTTACTATTGCTTGAAAAATTCAGAACCTGGAAGTGGAAGATGGAAGAGACTCAGAGAATGGGTCTCAGATACACTCACTTTTTTTTTAAGACTTAAGGAATCTAATCATCATGAAGCACAATTCCAACCTAGGTTCAGGATACAAGGTTACCCTGGGTGCTCCTTCTAAAAGTTTCCCATCCTAGGAAAGGATGTGCTCCTCTTTGTCTGCACTACTACATATTCCTACTACCACCTTACCCACCTGCAGTCATTGCCCCCACTGCATCTCAGATGTACAGAACTTCTCCCAGCTGTGTCTGGGAAGTTTATACAATTAGGTCTTCAGGGGTGGGAAATCTATGTAAGGCACAGAGGGAAATGGCCAATTGTTCTGTGTCCTCTCTTCTCCCTAAAAGGCTGGTGACAGTCAGACTTTTCAACACTGTATTTCACACAGCACATGATTAAGTACAGAATTTTGACACACACCTAAGCTCACACAGAGCTCCCGAAAGTTTTCAATCCCTCCTCTTGGCAACACAGAGCTTAAAACAGAAGCTATCCTAGAGGTCAAGAGGGATTTTAAGGAATCAGGACTCTCTAAAATTAATCACACTAGCTCTAGGAAATTTGAAATGGAAAAGAAACTATAAGCCACTAACAGACAGTGATTATGCTTCATACACCTGAATCCTTGGGCTCTGCTGACAAACCTCACAAAACTAGGCAGTAATGATTTGGCTGAACACAGAGGTGCAGACCCACTCCCAAACACAGCAACTGCTGAGGACAGTGCAGAGCCCCAGAACGGCAGAAATTAGGATGAAAACAAACACAACAGCGAGAAGAAGTTACAGTGGGAAGATTTAAACTCTATTTAATCAGTTGACTATTTCTGGGAAGACCACCATGGGATTTACAAACACAGCCAGTATTTAGAATTCAGGGATCAGAATCTCAGCTGGTAA